CAATGGCAGAAAGTTTCAATTCATGGTTCCGCTGACCTATTGTTGAAAACGCTCGACAAAATTCACGACACGTATTCTATTGTATTTCATTCTGTCAGTAATGTTTAAATGCATTCCTGACCAATGACAATCCCTTTCGTTGTGAATTCAATTGTATTACTATAATAAAATGTACTTCAATTATACATTTAATAAGATTTTTAGTAAGCATCAATAATGATTGCATTAATTCTGACCACTGATAATTTTTTCCTGATTTTCAATGTATTCTACAGGAAAATCATTATCAATGCATTTACATTCTACATATAATAGCCCTATTCATTCAGTAATGCTTGCATTCATTCCTGACCACTGACAATCCCTTTCTACTTGATTTTCAATGCATTCCTATAGTAAAATCATTAGCAATGCATTTCCATTATACATATAATAGCCCTATTCTATCAGTAATGCTTGCATTCATTCCTGACCACTGACTATCCCTTTCTTCCTGATTTTTAATGTATTCCTCTAGTAAAATCATTAGCAATGCATTTACATTATACATATAATAGCCCTATTCTATCAGTAATGCTTGCATTCATTCCTGACCACTGACAATCCCTTTCTTCCCGATTTTCAATGCATTCCTATAGTAAAATCATTAGCAATGCATTTACATTATAGATATAATAGCCCTATTCTATCAGTAATGCTTGCATTCATTCCTGACCACTGACAACCTATTTCTTCCTCAATTCCAATGCATATAGTTTGAAACCAGAAACAGAAGTCTTTATTCTGACACCTTAAAAAAAAAAAGACGTATTTCTGTAATCCCAAATCTTCGCAGTATTAATAGGAAATATTTCTGCTGGTGTAGTCTGCTAATTTTCAAATTTTGTCGACTTCGCAGACAACACTCAGTTCTTCATAATGACTGAGACATTTAAAAGTGCTTGAACAAAACAGAACAAAACACGGGCAGGTTATTAACAATTTGTATAAATAAAACAACTTCTTTATATATATATATATATATATATATATATATATATATATATATATATATATATTCAAACATGTTTCATTGAATAATATAGACATATCCCTATCACAACGGAATGAAGATTTTATCGCAGCTGCAATAAGATGATCTTAGAAAAGGTCGAAAGTACTTGGATTATAAAACTACAGCGCCTACCTTGATGAATTTCTTCTTAATATCAAGAAATTGATTCGACGACTGGAAAGGATCAGTGTAAGATATAAAATGAAATACACTCACTCTCTCTCTCTCTCTCTCTCTATATATATATATATATATATATATATATATATATATATATATATATATATATAAAGGTTAATGGGCAGGGTTGAATCAGACCAGGGAACAAAAGTGCTCAATACACGTGAGGAAAAATATAAGTATAAATAAAAATAACATGTAAAGCTTTTAATTTTTAAAATCAGGAGGTCAATTAAAATACGCGACCTTGGTTTCGACCTGACGGTCTCTTCGGGCGATACTTTTAAAATGACCACATTAACACTTTATTTCAAAAAACCCCAAAGAACGCTACGAAATTATCTTTCAAAAAATAACAGGCGCATGATGACTGGAAGACAGGACATTGGCTGTAATAGAAAGGGAAGGAGAAAAGGAGGGGGAAGGAAAGAATGGAAAAGAACCGGAATGCAAGTGTATTGTAAATGTATGCAGTAAAAGAGGGAAAGCAAATATGTAACTTGTTTATGGAGGATGCGGAGTCCTGCGCGCCTAAAGGTTAACAGTGGGGTTTTTAATTTAGATTTTTTTTAACTGGCTTCATATTCCCTTAGTAAATTTTTATTTATATTAGGGCAAGGGCTTAAAATTTCTGATTTTTGGTTTAAAACAATTTTGCATCCGGAAATGTCATAATTGCTAAATTCTCATATTGGCATAGTTTTCAAATGCGGGTATAATTGTTATATGTTTTTAACATTTTTCAAATTTTCCATCATACCTGCAGGTTCCTGGATATTTTTTTTTTCTTTTAAATTCCACATGCGGCTGGCAAGTTTGGTGGAGAATCTAAAAATTGGTGGCTTAAAAGTCGATGTGTGACTTTGCCATTTGCGATTGAAAAGACCTTTTGTGCAACCTATATATGGAAACCAAGATGGCATATTTTAATTGACATCCTGATTTTTTAAGTTATATATATATATATATATATATATATATAAATATGTATATATATATATATTAAAAAAGCAGGAAGATTAGTTACTTACACACCATGGTTTCAGTCATTGGGGTCTCATCAGATGGTAGATGCTAGTTAATAATGCATAGGGAACATTTTTAATATTTAATATAACCTTTCCCAGGTCAACAAACTATTTATATATATATATATATATATATATATATATATATATATATATATATATATATGTGTGTGTGTGTGTGTGTGTGTGTGTGTGTGTCTGCGGTATATTTTAAGCAGCAAATATTCATAAAAACTTTTTTTAATGAAACTTTATATATATATATATATATATATATATATATATATATATATATATATATATATATATATATATATATATATATATATATAATGCCACTAAGACACAAGTGGTTAATTGGTGCGAAAGAAAATAAACTTTACTAAGGATTGAGAACAAAAAGAAAATTAATCAGGAAAAGAGTAGATAAAGATTATATATATATATATATATATATATATATATATATATATATATAAGCTGATTCTATAAACACCCACCTGCGTTAATGCAAAGCTCTTCAGTAAAATGAATAGAGGCCTATGGTTGATTGGCATTTGTTTACATTCGTAAAAACAATACGCTAGATTTAGCTGTTCCATTCTGTCGAATGAACATAGCTCAGTGGCAGAAACTCTGACTGACATCAAATCGGTTAGGTTGCAATTATGGCTTGAGACATTCGGATGTCCAGTCGCATACAGTGATACAACAAAACAGTACTGTGTATATATTATGTGTACGTTTCAGAAATTTTAAAAAGTTATCTATGAACACAAAAATAATTTTATACACAAGACCTTATCAAATGAATAGATACAAATTTGACCTAAAAAGAAAGTACCTTACTTAGACGGAAAGCTCTCGAGTGATGGATTATAATAAAAATATATATATATATATATATATATATATATATATATATATATATATATATATATATATATATATATATTAGGTTGCAAAAATAATGTCGTTTTTTGACGTTAAAAATACGTCAAAAACGACATTATTACGTCATTATTTTTGCTGTTATATATATATATATATTAGAGAAACTACTTTTAACATGTTCTAACAAATTTTCATTCTTTTGACCGCAAGAAACAATACATATGTATAAAGTTATGGTGTTTCCATGGGTTCAGTTCTGGGTTCAACATTTAGTAACTTTTGTATGGCTAACCTTGAAAATGATATATTTATAGTCAACGACGAAATTATTCGTACACCCATCTAATATTTAATATTTTTATCGATTTCTCAGAATCTAATTCCCTTATGAATCTAAGTTTTTATGTTAAAAAAAGGTAATATAGAACTCAATTTTTAGAACAGCAGGTTAGATACAACAAATTTGTTAGGCAAATTATTTAATAGAAAAGACAAAATTATTCTTATAGTAGAAAATATCGTTTTTAATTGATTGATTCATGCAAGTATAAGCAATTTATATTATTATTTTATCGGTGAAACATTATAATCCATTGTCAAAAATTTGCAATAACAAAAAGAAAAAAAAATAATACACAAAAAAAGGATATTTGGTTGATTTTGTTTAGCCGTATATTAATCTCTAAAGGTTATTTAATGCTGAAATTTAAATATTTTTTATGTAACTTTATGCTTTTAACTATTTTGTACACAAATTTATATTCAAGATAAAAAGGTAGGTTTTTTAGATATATATTTTGTAGATCGTAAAATGTATTGTTGCTAATTTTACTATAAAAATGTATTTTTATATTTTTTTTTTTAGTGTTGCACTGATTGCCATTTTGCTATAAAAATATATTGCTGGTCATTTTATTATAAAAATGTACTGTTGATTTTTTTTTTTGTTTAGGGGGTTTACTATTTGCTCATAATTGGGACCCTAACAGGTACTACCACCCCAAGTTAGTGATTCCACAATCCTCAAAGCCTCCAATCTCTTAATCAGAGGCCTTGCTGCTAGATATATTTATCATTGTAACCAGGACACACAAAGCAAGAGAATTATATATTTATATATATATATATATATATATATATATATATATATATATATATATATATATATATATAGCAAAGACAAAATTATTCGTACACCAATCAATTTTGAATATATTTTATCCATTTCTCAGAATCTAATACCCATATGATGCGAGGTTTTTATATGTTAATAAGCACAAAGAAAGAAATATAAAACTTGAATTTCAGAAGAATACATTAAATATAAGTAAATTATGCAAAATAGGAAAAGACAAAATTATTCATACAGCAAAAAATATCATTTTAAATTGATTGATTCATGTCAGTATAAGTAATTTACATAATTATTTCATCAGTGATACCTTCTAGACTATTTATTCAGTAGAATATTTGTGATAATTCCAGCAAAGAACATCATGCGGTGTATAGAGCGTCACCATTCTTACGTTAACAACACAATGGGGAAGATAGAAGTGCTTAGCGTTGACTTGAGACAGAGAATTATTAACTTCCACAATTCGGGAAATAGTTACAGCGCTATTTCAAACCGGTTAGCTCTCCCTAGATCTCTGGTACAGTCCGTTATAAAGAAGTTTAAACTCTTTGGTACGACAGAGAATTTGTCTGGGAGTGGAAGAAAACCCAAATTGTTACCGAGAACGGCACGAAAACTGTGTCGCAAGGTTAATATAAACCCAAGAGTTGTTTAGAAAGGCATCGCCAAAAGTTTGGATTCGATGAGTATCCGTGTAAGTACTCGCACA